GCTGCTGAAGCTGCTGCTGCTACTGCTGCTGGTGCTGAAGATGATGGTCTACCTCCACCTCAGAAACGTTATGCTTTCCACTTTGATGATTACAACTGGGAAGAGCCAGGCACCTCAGGGTTTAGAGCTCAGCAAAAGATTGGTGTCCTTCAACAATGGTACAAGTATCAGGACAAAACGATACACAAGATGGCTAAGTGTATCAAGAAAATGAAAAAGAGGATCAAGAAGCTTGAAAACCCTTGCAAAGAAGGATCTCCCCCACCAGTTTCACCACAACACAGAGAAGAGGTTGTAGAGAGCTCCACCAATTGCACAGCATTGGTACCATATGGCACAGCATGGGTGGACCTTGAAGCCGTTTCTAATGAGGCAATCAAGCACTCTTGGGAGACACCATCTGGTAACACATCAAACCCCTCATACTCGTTGGGGTCAGACTTCCACAGCTCTTAGGTAACACTCCAACCCTTGTACATATGTATGTAGTTCTTTCTTTTTCTCTATGCATTTTGCTTGTTTGAGTTTGCACTCATTTCTCATGCTTTTATAACACAAGGGACTGTGTTATTTAAGAGTGGGGGAGGAGTTTCACCTTTTACTAATCATGTTTTCTCTGTTCTTATTTTCTACTTTGAGTCTTGAGTCACATTCTTGCATGCATTCATGTAGTTCCATCTAAGTGCATATAAAAACCAAAAAAATCAGAAATATTCTCACAAAAAATATGTTCATCCTTGTTGCATTTCACATTTTTATGATTGAGTCTAGTTGCATCATATAGGTTGCATTATGCATGGGAGTAATGATATTTTTTTCCTTGAGAGAATATCACTTTAAGAATTCGTTTCACTGCCCTAGTTTCTAGTTCTTTGATGCATGTAAACAAGAAAGAAGTCAAGACTGATCCATGCTTTGAACTTGTTAAGTGAGTCAGGCTTTGATTAGTTTCAGCCTTATTTAAGTGAGAACCATAATTTGACAATCTAATTATCATGTTTGTGCATGTCATTGTGAACGCATGGGTACCCTTAAAATATTTGAGCTCTCTTATCCTTTTTACCACTATTTGCTAGCTCAAATAGCTGTTCTCTCATCTTGAGACAGTTCCCTGCCTTGAAAAAAACCTTCCTTGAAGCCTGAAACACTCTAGTGAGAGATGTGAGGTCTTTTTCTGAATAAACTTGACAGAAAGTGTTGGGTTTAGGGCACAAGAGTAGAGTTTCATGTAGATCTAGCTCTGCATCATGAGTCTAGAGTAGGCTAGGAAGAGATCTTGGGAAACACTGCGTGAAAAAGATTGAGTTTGAGATGAGAACCAGGGGATGGAAAAGAAAAGAAATCGGTTTCGGGTCTGCTGTTTAATGAAAGAAAAGCTCTTGTGTTTTGAAAAGAAAAGTTGATACGATCCTCCCAAGGATTTGCACTCGCTTGATCGGTTGAGGTTGATAGGAACTCGGCCTGGAAAGGTTGCTCGGAGAGATGCTAAGGTGATAGCAGGAATTTTTCAATCCTTGATCAATTCCTCAACTACTCATGTCATTGTAGCACTTGAGGTATCAATCCAAATGGAGAGATTCTAGACACTAGAACTATGAGGAGCTATCTTAATTCAAGTCTAACAAGCAAATGAGTTGGTAACAAGGTGATCTAAAACATAAAACAAACAAAAACAAACAGTAATTTAAGAACAAGCAACAAGACAACAAATCAAGACTCAAATTCAAAATAAAGAGAAAGCTAAACCTCTAGATGTGATCATTGATTAGGATGCTTTAGAGATTTATTCATGATGCTAACAACAATAATGCAATGCAAGTTACTCTTTAGTCTAGACTTCAAAAGCAGATTAATTCATTCCCATGACAATAATCTCTTTGTAAATCACTTAATCAAGATTAATTCACCTTAAGCAAGATCAAGCAATCAACAAGCATGAAGTATCAAGTCTAATAATGACCAAACGGTTTCTATTTCAAAGAGACCGAATCTTACACAGAAAGCAGCAACAAGCAATCATATGATCTCAAAACCAATTAACTTAGAACTCAAATCTAGACTAATCCTCTCATGAAGGCACTAATCTCTACACTAATCCACTTTCAAACCAAATCATCATTTCTGAAATGAATCAGTGAGCATTAAGAAACAGTTCTAATATGTCATTCATGCATTTAACAAATCATTCCCATGATAAAAAGGCATAAACCCTTAGCTTAGCTCATTCAGACATTTCATCAAACACCTTGTGGGTGGAGAAATGACTAAGGTCTAGATCAGAGTGATGTGCAAAGATCTAGCATTAAGAGCAGCTAACTAAGGAAAGGAAATGAAGATCTAGAACCTAAACATCATAAACCGATCATCTAAGCATCCTAATCTACACACCTAGAAGCTTAAAAGATAACTACTCACTAATCATGATTAACACACCATTTCCTTTGCAAGAGGTGATGTTAATCATGATTAGAAGTTGAGATCAGATGATGAAATTATAAGAAACAGCTTTAAGATAATGAAATCTCTTAGATATCTCTTAATCACCTCGGTTTTACACAGATAAGGAAAGAGAAACCAAAGAGAAACTAAGATAAAGGATAAGATAATGGATAACTAGGGTTTTAGTCTCTAAAAACTATTTATATAAAAGGGTGTGGGCCAGGTCAGCCCAGGAAAAACTGGGTACTGACCCGCCCTTTCTGGGTTGCTGGAGCCACCCCTCGCCATCTGAAGAAGTCTAATACCGAGGGCCATACACCAGGGGGTCATGTGCTGGGTTGAAACTTTGATGAACACTTGAAGAACATGCATGAGACTTGCCTTTTGATCCGGTTGAAGCTTTGAAACCAGTTCCATGAGAAAGATAACTCATTCAGCTCAATCTTTGGTGAAGAAACTATCGGCGCTTGGGAAGTGGAAGGCTTCCTGGAGGGCTCATCTTCACAGTGCATTTACACGATCAGAGAGAGGCGTCTAGACATGTGTCCATTCCGGAAACGTTAACTTCTTACTCATAGATCCGAATTGAATAATCTTGGACTTTCTGGAACGAGGACTCAAATATCTCTGCTTCTCATGAAGGCCTCGTAAACCGAATCGGCCTGGAAGTGCGCCGTCCTTCGCATTCTTCGGAGCTCATCGGGTCGGTCCAAGACGGCAGCGAGACAGGGGTTTCTTCCGACGAGCTCAACTTTCTGCTCACGCATCCGAATTCCATTATTCCACTTGCTATAGAACCATGATCCAATTGTCTCCATCGTTGATGAAGCCTCCGACAGCTGAATCGGACTGGAAGGTTCTCCGGACAGGCGATCATTCAGGAGTATCGGATTGCTCCGGAATGGATGCGAGAGAGGTCTGTCTTCCGATTATCATATCTTTCAGCTCCGTGGTCCAAACGCTTTGATTCCAACTGTTCCGAACTCTTGACTCAATTATCTCCAACTTTTATGCAGACTCCGACAGATCGGCCGGCAAAACCTTCCGGTAACGTGATTTCCGAGATGTATCTGCACTCAAGATTTTTGGCCGAGAAACTTAACCGCGGCACGTGTTTTTGGCCGAGAAAGCTACCCGAGGGAAGGATTTTGGCCGAGGATCTTCGACCTTCAGTACAGCATTTTGCCGAGAAACCCAAATTTGCTCCTTTTCACCATTTTTGATCATTCCAACTCCATTTCTTCATGTGAATCACATCCTCCACTCCAAATTGGCTCCAAAAGCACTTGTTTAACACTCCAAAACATGCAAAACTCTCTTGGACCTAATGTAATCTCCTAAGTCCTAAAACAATGCCTAAAGACCTAAAATGCATGCAAATGAGACATGATTTGGACTAGAATATGTACATTAAATGATGCAATTTATGAATATATCATAAGGCGTGAGAGGTTATCTCGAAAATCCTCAGGCCCAACACATGTAAACAGATCGAGAACGAGTGAGTGATTACACCGAGTTTGAGATCTCGTGGGTAAAGGATGAACAGGCGTGAGACACGTCTCGAAAATCCTGTTGCCCCTAAACTACTTTGAACAAAATCGAAAAAAAGATGAGATAGAGGCTGTGTCGAATTCTATGGACTAAATCCGATAAACCAAAACAACTTTCAAGGCTAACCACCGATGAAAGGGAAAACTCAGAAAGAACAAGATAAAAAGAGTATGTAGCCATTAACCTCATTAAAACCCCACCCGGTTAAACCATTGGGAAAAACCCCGGTGCAAGGAAAAGAGTATTAAGGAACTACACCGACCAAGTAAGTCAGCAGCGTTTCGGCCTGAACACTTGGTGTAGCGTCTGAGTTTTGGACCCGTAGGTCAGTACATAACCTCCAAATGGCCATTGATAGTTTTTTGGCATGGGACCGTGTCATCGGCCCACTTGGAACAGTCAGGTTTTCTGTCGGGTCTTGTTCCTTGTTCTGCGTCTCGTCCGGCTGCTCGTCCCATGGGTCGTCCGTTGGTTCCAGGCTCGTATCATTCCCCCCCCCCTCTTGAAAAGGACTTTTCCTCAAGTCTACTGGAACTGACCGTATACTTACCTCGAAGATCGATTTGGTAGGTGTTGTCATTGATCCGATTCATCACGGTGAACGGTCCATCGACCCTTAGCAATAGCTTTGACTTCCATTTCTCAGGAAATCGTTCCTTCCTTAAGTAAATCCATTCTTGGTCGCCTGGTTCGAACACGCGTTTGCTTCCTTGGTTCTAAAAGAGAAATCCATCACTCTGATAATATTTGCCATGGGCAAATTTTGAACAAGCGCTGTAGACTTCCTGAAAGTCTGGGTCGGTGATATATGCTTCTTTTATCAACTCAAAACCAAGAACCTTCGCGTCCAACGTAGAGATCAAGGCGTATCGGCGGGACAAAGCATCGGCAACAATGTTTTCTTTGCCGTGCTTATACAGGATGACGTAAGGAAATGTCTCTATGAATTCCATCCACCGAGCGTGCCTCTTGTTGAGTTTTTGCTGACCCTTAAGGTGCTTGAGCGACTACTGATCCATGTGGATCACGAACTCTTTGGGCCAAAGGTAGTGCTGCCAGGTTTGTAAAGCACAGACCAAAGCATACAACTCCTTGTCATACATCGGATAGTTAAGCGTAGCTCCTCCCAACTTCTCACTGAAGAATGCTACGGATTTATTTTCCTGCATCAGCACGGCTCCAATACCTACACCAGAAGCGTCACACTCAATTTCAAACGTCTTAAGAAAATCAGGCAAGACTATAAAGGGGCGTGAGTGAGTTTATGTTTTAGGAGTTGAAACGCGTCTTCCTGTGCCTGCTCCCATTTCAAACCCACTTCTTTCTTACTGATTTTGGTTAAAGGTGCGGCTATGGTGCTAAAGTCCCGAACAAAGCGTCGGTAAAATCCTGCTAGGCCGTGAAAGCTCCGGACCTCTCCTACGGTCTTAAGACTTGGCCAATCCTGAATAGCTTTGATTTTCTCCTCTTCAACCTGTATTTCCTGTGAGCTCACCACAAAACCTAGAAAAACAACGTTATCCGTGCAAAAAGAGCACTTCTTAAGATTTCCAAAGAGCCGTTCTTGCCTAAGCACATTTAACACCTTTCTCAAATGCAAAACATGCTCCTCTAAGGTCTTGCTGTAAATTAAAATGTCATCGAAGTAAACCACAACAAAATCACCTATAAATGACCTAAGGACATGATTCATCAAGCGCATGAAAGTACTAGGTGCATTGGTAAGACCAAAGGACATAACTAGCCACTCATAAAGACCATGCTTAGTTTTGAAAGTCGTTTTCCATTCATCACCTTCCTTCATCCGGATTTGGTGATATCCACTTTTTAAATCAACCTTAAAAATATGCAAGCACCATGAAGCTCATCTAACATGTCATCTAGCCTAGGGATAGGATGGCGATACTTAACCGTGATGTTGTTGATGGTTCTGCAATAGACGCACATCCTCGACGTCCCGTCCTTCTTGGATACTAGTAACACAGGCACGGCGCATGGACTAATGCTCCCACGGATGTATCCCTTGGACATGAGTTTATCGACTTGCCGTTGTAGCTCCTTGGTTTCGACTGGATTGGTACGATAGGCGGGCCGGTTTGGAAGTGAAGCACCAGGCACGAAGTCGATTTGGTGCTTGATCCCTCTGATGGGTGGTAAACCGCCTGAGTCTTCTTCCGGGAAAACATCGGCAAATTCCTGCAAGACATTAGAAATTTTGCTCGGTAAAACCGTCTCAGGGTTAGTATGGCTAGCCAAAGAATTTTTGAAAATGAGTAGAACAAAGGGCTGTCTTGTGATCAAGGCATGTTTCACCTCGCTAGGTGTCACAAGAAAAGACTCCTTACTCACGGGTTTACTCTCACAGGCCATTTCTAAGTTTTTCTCAGAGTCTCCTTTTTGGTGTAAAGTGTTTGAGGGTTCACTTATGATACTTTTACCTTTGGAATTCTGTTCTAACTTGACTTGGTCAAGATAAACCTCATGGGGTGATAATGGCACTAGAACGATCTTACGGCCTCGGTGGTCAAATGTATGCTTGTTGGAGAAGCCGTCATGGGTGGCCTTCCGATCGTATTACCACGGTCGTCCTAAAAGGATGTGACCGGCCTCCATAGGAAGAACGTCGCACACAACCTCGTCTTTGTACCGCTCTATGACCAAAGGTACGGTCACTTGCTTGGTGACCTTGAGTTGTCGTTGGTTGCTGAGCCACTGGAGGTTGTAAGGATGCTAGTGCTTGCGCGTCTCGAGGCCAAGCTTGTCGACCATGTTGGTGCTGACAACTTTAGTGCAGCTTCCTCCGTCGATTATCAGACTGCGCACTCTTCCTAAGACCAGACATCGCGTGTGAAAGAGATTCTCACGCTGGTCTTCTTCCTTGATTCGTTCCTGAGCTATTAATACTCGGCGGGCTACCAGAAGCTCTCTGTCCACAGCTCGCTCTTCAGTCTCCTCCTCGTCATAAACGGCCTCTGTCTCCCCCTCCTCATGGTCGGACACGATATCTCCAGTCTCGAGCATAAGCATTGCTCGCTGATTCGGCATTTGTTGGCGTAATGACCCTTTCCTCGGCACTTGAAGCATTTGATATCGCGAGTCCTTGCAGAGGTGGCCTCGGCCTTTCCTTTGTAATCCACAGGATTCTGGTTCGGTTTGTGATATATTCATAATTTGTCATGTTTAGGATTGCATTTTTGTCCAAAGATTGAGTCTCATGCATACATTTAGCTAGTTTTGTTAAGGTTTGTCCTTGGTTCAAGCTTTGTTTAGGATTTGCATTAGGTCCTAGAGTGTCCTGCATTTTTGGAGTGTTCTCAGGTCATTTGGAGACTTTTGGGAGCAACTTGGAGCTGGGATCATGGAGGAACCTTCACCTGTGTACAGCAATTCGGACAGATGGTTTGGTGCAGACAAAACCCTCACTTTGATAGCGTAGGACGAAGGACTTTAAATGCGATTCAGCTTCCGGAGTCTTCATCAAGAATCAAGAGGGTCGAGTATAGTTTCCAGAACACTTGAGATAGTCTTAGTTGGAGCTTTGAGCTGAAAGTTACGGCGATCGGACGCAGTGCATGTCTCGGAGCTGATAAAAGACCAAAGAAACGCGCGCCAAAGAACTGGCGGAACAGAGCCCTTGCCGACGTCACCTGAGCTCAAGCCCTTCACCAAAGTTGAAGATATCTGAGTCTTCTGTCCACTAAAACTGGAATCACACCATTTAGACCAGTATCCTGAAAGTTACTCTCCCCTGAATGTGAAGTGTTCCGAGGACACCTGAATGCTGCGAGATAGTCTTGCGACTCGGTTAACTCGCAACGCCTGAAGATGAATGCCTGGGGGTTGAGCTGCGTGTTGAGATGTGCGAGTAAGGCATCACTGGATAAGGTCTAAGGTTCCCGAGCAAGAAAAATGCTAAGTCCACAACCGTGCGACTTGAGCATGCGAGTTGGCCAAGCCTGGGACTGAACCGCATGAAGACTCGCAATCTACACCGACTCGGTCATGCAACTTGGGAGTGATGGAGACCAAGCTGCACACATCCCTGAAGGCCCCTGTTACATGTTCATGCGAGTTAGAGAGCAAAAAGGACCAGGCCGCAGACGGATTCGCAAATCACACCGAGAGAGTGATGCGGCTGGGCTTACAAGGGTTTTAACTCGTTCAAGCCTCTTTCTTTGGTTGTGCGACTTAGACATTGATGTGGTGTGTCGTGTGTCGAGGGTGTCAAGTTTTACCCTAAATGAAATCAATAGCCGCAAGTGCACAGCTGATCGATTGTAGTACTTAGAGATCGAATCCATAGGGAAGGAGGGTCTTTCCTGCAAAAGCCTTCGAAAAAAATATAAAGTAAGGAAGTCTAGAACCAAACGGTTTTTTGGGGGTTTTGGTGGTGTGTTTAAAATGTAAAAACGAATCTTAAAGAGAAAATATGGGAATTAAAATGACCTAATAACTAAACTTAGCGAAAACCAGTAAAAATGAGAAAAACGGCTAACCTAATTGCTTGAATGAAAATCGATTGAAAGAGTAAATAAACTAGACTAAAGCTTGAATGAAAATCGGTGTAAATCTATAAGAAAAGAGGCGCTGGGGTTCAGGAAAGATTTCTCAGGGGTACGAACTATTCAAAACATTGCTAGAGAGTAAATTAGATAAGATCTTAACTTAAACTTTTCGAACTGGAGTCACGGACGTATGACTACGCCACTGTCGTGATCAAAGACAACTATCTCTCTCTACCCTGACCAGTAGGTTTCCACTCTGGCCCTGGAAAAGAAGAGATGCATTATGTTTAAGACTCGTCAGCATTCACAATTTGCCCATAGGTAGGTTTCCACTCCTATGTTTGTTTTGCTCTCCCAAACTAGATCTGACACCGGATGAACACTTTCGTGTCACCAAGCATCTGGATCAGGTTGTAGTTCATGACGCTACTCTCATGCAGTAAAAACGAATTCAGAAGAAAGAATTCTAAGATTCGGCTCAAAAGCTCATGGAATCCTCACCGAACATATAAATCCCCATCGAAAATCCCTTAGACCCAAAAATAAAACTACTCAGACATGATGAACGAAATAAAAAACATAGTATTAAAAAGTAGAATAGAAACCGAAACTGAAAAAGAAAGAACAAGGGTTCAAGAGACAAATCTCTCTTTCCCTAAAACCTAAAAACAAAGCTAAAAGTAAAATTTCTGTAAAGTATTTCGTCTCTCCTCTTCTCTCTTAAAAAACGACCTAAATGACATGTATTTTTGTAGTTTCCAATACTCTCTGGTGTCCAGGGTTCCGGAATTGAGGCTGGGAAAATGATACGGGCTTCAGAAATGGGCCTTCGGGCTTGGACTTAGCTGGTCGCGGTCGGGATGAGTGTGACCGCGGGAAATGGGTGGCTGGCCGCGGTCGCGGTGCTTCTGGCCGCGGGTGGAAACGCTTGCCGGCTGGTTTACGGGACATCTTGCTCTTCGCGTATCTTTTGATTGAACCGTTGGATTGCCAAGCTGTAAAGTGTGCTGGAAAGCTGATACTTCCATCTTTAAGATCTCCAAATTTTAGCTGGATCAGACGGTGAGAAGGCCTTCAATCAGGGGTGAACTTCTGACGGTTTGACTATGAGCTCAAATCTGCTTTTCTATCCATTTTGTTAAGCTTTTCCCTAAGTTACCTGAAAAGAGTCTTGGAACTACAAATATTAGAAAAACGTAATAAAAGTACTTGAAAGCAACTAAAAACATAGAAAAAGTATTTCAAAACGATCCATAAAAGTGGTCAAAATACGGTGTTATCAACTCCCCCAGACTTAAACCTTTGTTTGTCGTCAAACAAAGCAAAAGCCTAAGCTGGTTAACTGAAAACAAAAATAGGGAATGCACAAATCTCAGAGACATAAACTCCTAAACTAGTACCAAAGATCGTGCATCAATCCACAACTTAGTCTAGAAAATTCTCACCAATGCACAAAAGATACTAGTCCACTTTTTTCGTCATGCAAAACTTAAACAATCTAAATCTTGATTCCAGTCAACTAGCTCTCTACATTCATTAAGTTCAATAGTGAGTTCTCATTAAAGACATCATCCAGGGTAGACGGCGTTTGGCATTAAAGGGCTGTTTAAATGGTGGAGTTAAAGTGTTTCGGGTTACCTGATGAATCTGGAGGATGCAAGATAATATGCAAAACCCCAAGAGAGATAAGGACCTGTTGATGACCGCAATTTTTAGTCACTTCTTCTTGCCAAATGTTGTTGCATAATCCTTCTTCCTTTGTTGTGAACAGCTATTCCCCCAGACTTAGATTCTTTTCGGGAATCAGAAAATGATCTCCAAAACTCCATAAAATTCGAACTCCAGTTGCCTTGGGACTTAAAATTCGACCTCTCTAGACTCTCTAAGGCTTTTATTTCCTTTTTTTTCTTATTTTCAGACTTTTTTTTTTTTTAAGAGGAAATGCCTTTTAAAGAGAGAGAGAACTAGAGGACGAGATTGTACCAAAATTTGAGATTCTTCTAAGGCAAACTGACCTTTCTCTTGTGTTGAATCCTTCCGGGAACTTTTCCGGCAAATCGCAGGTCTCTGTCCTTGGTGACTGAAAACTGCGTCGTTCCTCTTTCTCTCCAACGTTTTTGCACTTATCTGCATATAAGACAATAGAAAACAAGAGTGCATGTGGTTTGAAAGAGGATTGGTTAAGGTGGGGAACTAGCTAAAGAAGAACTAGCCATTCAGGATCAACAGAGAGTGGTAAAAGGATAAAGGAGTCCTGAATGTATGATTCCTTTCCCTGGTCTAATGCTTCAATGAGAAAGTTAAGTCCAAATTAAGTCCAAATAAAACAGAGCTAGTGTATTCCTTCATCTAAATCGAAATCATTCAAATTCCTCTGGGGTACTTCGTTTCAAATCTGCTTAGCTACCACCTAGTCTTGTCCTAAATCATGAATGAGCATGTCACTAGGAACAGTCTAAAAGCACACAGTCAACTATCATTGATTCATGTTCACCATTCCCTTTTAAAACATATTTTGTTTTGAAAACCGGTTTTGAAAAACTTTAAGGAAAATGCAAAAAGTGTAGATAATGCAAGACTCATGAAAGAAAAGTGGTTAGAAAGGGATGAAATCCTCTCCCAAACTTAAATCACACTGTCCTCAGTGTGAAACAAGTCGAGATTGGATGAGAGAAATGCATAGATAATCGAATTGGTAAGGCCAAAGAGAACTTACCTGGATCCGAGATGCTGGTGGTGATGGACCGGATTCATTCGAAGATGTTTGGAAAGGTGATGGGTGGTGATGAAGGTGGTGGGAAGTGATGAATGAGGTGAGTGGGGATTGGTGAGGTGGAATGAGGTGAAGTAGGTGGTTTGGGGTCG